AGGAGATGGGCCTAGATGGCTGAGGGTTCATTGCCTGACTCAGCTTCATTAGAGGTAACAGGTGGCATCATCTCAAAATGTGGGTGCAACACTAAGTGTGTTCTGTGATCTGTTGGATTCTTTCTTTTATGACTCAGACCCACATAATCTCCCACTGTGCAGGTGTACTTTTCCTTTGAGCTGAACCAGTTCAGAGTCTGCAAATATTTTTATATATTTTTTTTAACCTTAGAGGACACTATGTTTTCACTGGCCTCAAATATTTTTATAAGTGACAGGCTGGACAAACAAGGAATATTATCCTGTTTATAGGTTTCTTTATTTGGGGGTGGCAGCCAGGAGAGGAGATCCCAGGGAAATTGCTAATTTAAGTTTTTGAGAAAGGAACTTATTTCCTTTAACTCATTTTAGAAATAATTAGATATGCCCTTCAGTATTTTCATCTGTAAAATGGAAATAAACATAGGGTTGATGAAGATATTAAAGGATTTAATGAAACCTGTCTCCAACAGAGATGAAAAGAATTGCGTTATGGAGAGAGACAAGAGAGAGTTGCTTCCCTAGGAAGGAGCAGGAAAGTCATGTTATTAACAGAGTAGAAAAACGCGAACAAAGTGTTCTCCGTTCTGCTTCCTGCTTGGCCACCATCTGCTGGCCACAGCCTCCCTAAGACGCAACTTTTAGCTCGACCTAAAGTTAAGTAAGTGTCTAATATAGTACTCCTGACACTGTAGCCCAAGTAAGTCTCCCTCCATCCCTCCCTTTCTTCAGTCCTTTCCTCTCTCCTCTCTTCCTTCTTTTCTTTTCCTCCTTCTCTCCTTTCTTCCTTCTGCCTTGCTCACTCTCTTGCTTTTGCTTTCTGTGACGGGGTGCTATATTTCTTAGGCTGATCTCAAACTCCTGGACTCAAGCTATCCTCTTGCCTCACCCTCCTCAGTAGCTGAGACTATAAGCACATACAACTGAGCCTAGCCACAGGAATTTGTAATCACTTGGGTAGCATCCTCCTCCATACTACCACCTAGGGAGCCTGGGCCCTGGGGCAGAGGAAGCCATAACTGGAGGAAAAGGCATTATCTGGGGGGAAAAATTCTAAGTATTTCTAAAAATATCTGGGAAACTATAATCCATGTTTTCTATTTCGGGGTTCACTGACTCGTGACATATTTAACAGAAGAACTAGAAAGCAGCATTGTTTCTTACCCTAGCCTAACAAATGGAAAAAGATCATGTTCTTCAGGGGCTCTAGCAGTAGTGACAGTGAGATGGAGAGCAGGGTCTTCCAGGTCTCTCAGAATCTCCTAGGATTTTATTTCTCGAACAACCAGTTTGATAATTTTTTCTTAGTGGATTTCTTAACAATTCAGTTAAAATAGTGGTCCCCAACCTCTTTGGCACCAGGGACTAGGTTTGTGGAAGGTAGTTTTTCCATGGACTGGGGGTTGTCGGGATGATTCAAGTGCATTACATTTATTGTGCACTTTATTCTGATTATTACATTGTAATATATAATTTCATAATTATACAACTCACCAGAAGGTAGAATCAGTAGGAGCTCTCAATTCATTTTCCTGCAATGAGAATATCCCATCTGAGACTGATAGAAGACAGTGACAGACCATCAGGCATTAATTCTCATAAGGAGCACACAACGTAGATCCCTCCCATGTGCATTCACAATAGGGTTTGCACTTCCATGAGAATCTAATGCTGCCACTGATCTGACAGGAGGTAGAGCTCAGGCGGTAATACAAGCCATGAGGAGCGGCTGTAAATGCAGATGAAGCTACACTCGCTGTGCCACCACTCACCTCTTGCTGTGCAGTCTAGTTCCTGACTGGCCAGGACCCCAGGGTTGGGGACCCCGAGTTAAAACACACACAAATGGCATCAGAGTGTGTTACATAGACTAGGAGAAGTAGGTGGAGGCTCAGGGATGGGTTTGGAAAAGTAAATGAGACCTTTGGTCCAACTCTCAGGTGACTTTCCCAGCACTCCCCTAACCAACATCCTCCACTTTTCTGGAACACATTCATAAATAGAACAAATTTTATGGAAGTCCAAGAAGCAGAAAGGGAGTATGTCAGAATCACAAAGAAAAAGGATACATACATATTGATATTATAGGTTATATTAAACAAAAGAACAGTGATAGGATAAGGAAATGTATGTGCTAATCTGGAGCCAATAACTTGCTTCAAGAATGAACTAGACAGAGAATATATATACAGTCAGACACTAAAAGTTAGAAGATAAGCAGATAACAGAGATGTTTAATATTTGCTGCCTTTTGCTGAACGTAGTAATACAAATAACTACTATCATTGGATGAAATAGATGCCAGGCTTTGCAGACCCCTGGATATCTGTGTCATTTTAGGCTCATTTTACAAATGAGAAAACAAAAGTCTCTGTGAGCAGTGATGTTAATTACACAGAGCTAGTGAGTGGCGGGGCTAAGATCCACACTTACGTCTGATTCCTTTCACTTTGCCATGCTGTTTCTCAAAACTGAGCAAAGTTCAAAAATAGGAGGACTGTATTATTAAATCTATTGCTCAATGTTCATATTAACCCTAACCCCTAGCTTTTTATCAGAATTCCCAAATTCTGTTTTGGAGCATAATTACTTGATTATTGCTCCAAAACAAGATGTTTTGATGGAGAGACTCTTGGAAAACAAGAAGAAAGGGAGGAGAAACTAGGGAGAAAGCACATGAAATTTCCAAAATTTACTACTGGTATGCATTTGGCTCATCCTCATTTCTGTAAGAGCACAGGTTCTTCTTTCTAGTGACTAACTTGACATTGAGTATAAGTAGAGGAAAAGAAGAAGATTGTTGAGGAAGGTGGTTCCACTGTAATTTAAAATGATTTGCAGAAGCCAAATGGCTTGTGCTGGCAGTAGAGAAACAGACCAGGGTGTGGCAGGCTGAGATGAAACCAACAGAACTCAATTATTATTAGGAATTCTGAAAAACAAAATGCAATTAAGAGAAGGGCATTTCTCACCACAGAAGAACAGTCATTTAAGCAGCCCTCAGAGGACTCTGCGTAATGTTCAATGCCACTTGGGAGGAGACTTGGTAGCTCTATCTTAAGTGAGGTTGATTAAGCAAATCACAGGCCTGAATGTCTATGTAACAGATGGGTCCCCTCCTCCTTTTACAACTGTGGTTATTTGGTATTTAAAAAAAAATAGAAATAAAAGATTTAATATTTACCAGTCTTCACATACTCTGCGTAGAACAGGAAACATCAGATTGATTTTGAAAGATAAGAGAATAACTTATTCTAGAAGAGCTAAGTTAAAATGAAGACAATAAATTCAAGGTAATAAAATATAAATTAAAACTTACTTTCTCTTCTCTTTTTCATCTTTGACAAGAGAAGCAATATATTATTCTTTTCCCAGTCCCCTAGTGTTTTGGGGTGATAATGCTAATTGATCTGTAAGATGATAAACTTGAGCTGCCACTCTGCCCGTTAGTCACACAGAGGTGGAAGATACAAGAATTAACTACATAAATTGAAAGAACAAATTAATAGTTTTTTTCCCAAAATTTCTCTTTTTACATCCAGTCTTTATGCCAAATGCTTGATATATTCTTGTAACACAAAATACATACAATGAGATTTTAATTTCATTCATGAAGTGGAAATCTTGATGAAGTAGGATCTTGATACTCATTTAACATAGCAGCATGTTTCTATAACCACTGTTTTTTCTTTCACTTACTATAAAAAAAATTTCCAGGCCTCATTCTCATCCAACACAGGCATATACAAGCTATATGAATGGGCTTTAGTTTCAGCCATTTTGGATAGATAGTAAATGGCAAATGGTTCTCATGCAATCTAAAGCAATCATAGTTTTATATCCTTGATCTTGAAAGGAAATGTTTGGTTGGCTTTTGAATTAATTACGGAGAATGTTATTTTATCCATTGGACTATGTAGGGTATATCAAATGTATCACTCTAGTTTGTGCTAAAGAAGGAAATACTACACTAGCAACTCGCAATGTTGTAAGGTTGACACCAAAGGATATGGTATAAAATGAAGTGGAGGGGGGACAAAACCTTCTGTAACAGATTGCCAGAGAATGAAGGAGTATTTTTAGGTTAAGCTGATACAAGCAGGTTGCTTTAAGAGCTGTCCAAATGAAGCCTTATTTTTAGGATGCAGTATCCCTACCACCATCACCTTTCTTGTAGACTCTTGGGAATAACACACATGAGGAAATTCCATATTGCTATACTCACACACATGGTTCTTCTAAACCCAGTGGATTCTTACAGCAAATGCGCAAACAGATGGGTTTGTAGCAATAACCATTTCTCTTTCACACAAGCTGACCTTAACCATCCATGAAACAGTGTCCTAAACACGTGAAATTTACTAGACGCTATTTACTTGTGTTAAATATGTAAGTACAGACGAAGAGGAGATCACTTAACTAGGGGATATGTTAGCCATTGCTTATGTATGTTCACTATGCTGTTGTATGCAAACATTGGCCCCAAACACTAAAGTGCATGCCTGGCCCTTCATAATAATTAAATGGAAAGATATGAAATCACTTGTTTAGAACTAAAATTCTGCACCATCTGTTCACAGACAGTGGGTACTCTGCTGCTTTGTTCATGTAAATTTGCTGGTACACTGGGAATTAAAATATTCTTGAAAGCATCTCTGCTCCTTGTGTATGTTCTGATAAAGACTGACTTTCTACATTTTGAAAAAAAATTGAATTAAATATGAGACGCTGTAAACCAAAAAAAGAAGAGTAAGCTATGCTGGTTCAGATGATTCATGCAAAGAATTCGTAACAAAAGTAAAATCTCAGGAATAGGGTATAGAGGAATTGAAAGTCTTTTTCTCCAACCAGAGAAACTTTTGGCTATCTAAATTATCAATGTGTATCAGACGATATCAGCCATTTTACCATGAAAATAATGCGAGAAGTGAAGCATTGGAAATGTCAAGTGACCAAACAAGTATGTGCAGAAATTAACTTTTTTTATTATATATCATATAATGTAGTAGTAAAGTTTGTTTGAAGTGCATGAATAAAAAGTTAGTGAAATTACAGGAGGAACAATCTATATAGCAATAATAGGTGCATTCCCTGTGCATCTGAAAGAAAAAAAAAAAGAGTTTTCACTCATTTTGGCCTAAAACTTAGTGTTCAGGTTCCCAGGATTCTGACATCAGAACCCGGATAACGCTGATTAGAACCATAGGGGCTTTACAATAAAAGCTAAAATATTGACCATATGATGGCAAAAAGTCTTATTTTGTGGTTAACTTATTCTCTTCTAGCTACTCTCTGATGAAGTTGGTGGCGCTGTGGAGGAGGACCGCCGCCTCCTGGACGAGGACCGGGACCGTTCAGCGTTGTAAGTGACATGCTTGTCGTACCCCTCCATCTGAGCCTCAATGAAATCTCTTTGCTGCTGCCTGATGGTCTGGCTTATGAGCCCAGGGAGGGCGTGGATGCTACCAATCAAAGTCTCTAATTTTGTTTCCAGGGTAACAATCCTCTTCTCGAAGTCTTCACTCCTTTCGTTTAAGTCAGAAATCATGTCATACATGATATTCTGGGTCTGAAAAACAGGATTGAGAAGAAGGTTAATTACACTTGCCCTGGACACAAACTGTCCACCTCTCAGAGGTTTAGCTCTAGACTCTTGCTGGTGGCATTCAGTATAACAGGGGTGTCAGCTAACTGAACAGCTCCCCTTGCAAAGCCAATTCACTGTACCTGTTCAAAGCTAAGATTTATAATAGAAATATAAAATCTTAGGTTCAGTTACAGAAAATTTGAAGCAGGTACTGCTACTGGTGGTATGTCCAATGATTGTAGGTGGTATCAGGATAGACAAAAATGTTTCAATTTAATATTTATATATGTATTTTAAAGGTTGTCATAAAGGTAAGCACATCAAATTCATTTTGCAACATGTATTAATTAGGGCAGGGGTTATTTTTTTTAAAATAGGCAGAGTCAAAAAATAATAAATAATACAGATGGTATTGTTATGTGGCAGAAATGTTGAGGATAGAATATAAATGACGTTTAAGATTAACTCGTTTGATAATTTTGTAATTTAAAGCAGTAAGTTCCTAAATATTGTTTGTTGTCTTTTGTTCCAAATTACAGGCCTCTCTCCACTGGATCAAATGGAATTTTTTCAGATAACCATTGAGAAAATATTAGTTGAGGGAGATACTAAGGTTAACAGTCTATCTTGTTGGCCATGGCTCTGACCTGCTGGCTTAATCAAAGCTAAGTGGTTGAAATAGGAAAATGTTTTTGGATTCCTAGTGAACCTTGAAATTGACTGTCTTGATCACAGGGTATCCATAACTCTGACTCCTAGGTATATTTCCTGAGTAGCCAAGAGTCAAGGAGAGAGGACTGATCAGCTCAGAGCTAGAAAGGGAAAAGGCTGGTGAAGGGGAAGAAAAGTGTGTCAACCTTAGTTTAGTGCAGACTTTCCCAAGTCTGAGATCCCTTCGTTTAAGCCATGCCTCCTCCTACTTCTATTTGCTTTCTTATCATATGTTCTTCTTCTGCTTAACAATCTTTTAAAGATGATAAATGAACTGATAAGGGAGTTATTACTTAGAACACAGGCACCTTGTTTGTTTGACCAGAGTGCGTATGCTTAATTTTACTACATGGTCTTAAGAATATGTGAACAGCATCCATTCATTAAAGAACATACTGAGCCTTTATGGTATGTGCAGTCCTACGGTCATAAGTATAGTAATAAAGAAATAAACAGCAACTTGCCTCACAGTGGTACTCTTGAAGTAAAATTACATCTCCACCTCATATTTCAATGTGGCCTATTCCTTTGTTCATAAAAATACCCATTAAGAATCATTTAACTGGCCGGGCGCGGTGGCTCACGCCTGTAATCCCAACACTTTGGGAGGCCGAGGCGGGTGGATCACGAGGTCAAGAGATCGAGACCACCCTGGTCAACATGGTGAAACCCCGTCTCTACTAAAAATACAAAAAATTAGCTGGGCATGGTGGCGCGTGCCTGTAATCCCAGTTACTCAGGAGGCTGAGGCAAGAGAATTGCCTGAACCCAGGAGGCGGAGGTTGCGGTGAGCCAAGGTCGCGCCATTGCACTCCAGCCTGGGTTAAGAGGGAAACTCTGTATCAAAAAAAAAAAAAAAAAAAAAAAGAATCATTTAACTAACGAGTGATGGAGCTTGCCCCATCTTTTGTTCGTATGTCCAAGTGACAGCCACTTTTATACATGTTAATAAAAGATGTCTTCATGTCTTATATGTGTGTGCTGTCCAGTTTATATGCATGATATATGCTCTCCTAGGGTAAGTCATTAAGTACTTATCTTCAACCTCTAGTATGTGTTATTGATATGTATTATAATCAATATAATTTAGATGCATTATTTAATGAGACTAGGCCAAGTATGCGTAATTTGTATGAATTATACTTGAAGTTTTAGTAAAGTCATGGCTGATTTATCAAATGAAAAACAATTTGTAAGAGGCAACTGAGAGTTACCTCTTTCAAAGCATTTGTGTAAAAGGCTGAACAATCATATAAACACTATTCTAATATCGCTTTTAGAATTCACCTCGGGAAATGCAATGTTTTGATTGCTGACAAATATTTATGTTTTGATAATGGGTTTTATGTGGGGATGGACAACCAAAAATCAATCAGCTAAATCTTATAAATATGGTAGAATAATCTGGGGACCGTTGATGTACTTTTCAAAAAGTGTCATGATTTTAAAATAATGAAATGGAGAAAGAACCATTAAAAAGTGATCATTTTGGGTGATAACTGTCATTTTAGGATGTAATTTTTAGTATCTTTTATTTTTATTTCAACTTCACATTCTTTTGAGTTTGCTTAAAATACATAAAACAAAATTTAATTATGAGTCTTATTCATTCCTGAGTATCACAGTCACACCTAAAACAGTTCTGCTCTCATTAGGATGAGATTTACATGCAAATAAAAATCCCACAGGTATTGTCTCCTGTTCCACTCAGGCTTCTTATGGTACTTCCAAATCACTGTGACTAGGAACGTTTTCAGAATGGGTGTTGAATAATGTAATAGGGAAAGAGCACATTAAGTGAGAGTTTTAGAAACATTCTTTTAAGTCGGACCATCGTTTTAGGGTACTTTGTTGGTTTGATTTATTAATTAGATTTGGGTTGGGATCCTCTTGAAACATTAATTATTAGTGACTGTGCAGTAGTTGATTTCAGCAGATGCAACCATGAGGCCTAAATACCTCAGGCTTACCTTTGCCAGGTCCACCAACGTGTTTGCTTGGTCATTCAGCTTCCTCTGCTCCATTTTTACACTTCTTAATCTAAAAGACAGAATCTGGTATCAGGAAGGTTCCCTTCTTTCTATGGCAATCTTATGCCTTCCAAAGAGCATGCACAAAATTGACAAGAGCAAATAACTGCATGGATAATGCCTTGAATATTTGGGGTAAGTCCAAACTGGTTATATGTCTGGTACAATGAGAAGCATGCTTCCCCAACACCGCAAAAAAGAAAGGAGAGAGAGCAAGAGATGAGATGTCCTTAGGACAGCTATTTATCAGGTAAAATTGAATTCAGAAGGACTCATAAGGATTTAACCACATGAGAATAAGCCAAAACATTCCTTAAAGCCCCAGTATCATGACAAATAGACATAGGAAGAAATATGCAAAGCAACTGGAATTTCATCGATGTTGGAGCAATGAGCACCTTCCTATGCCTAAGTGACTAGATACAGGTATTAGCCCTGTTTAGTCCGAAATGGATTGGGTTAGGTATTTGAACCTGATGAGAACACAGTGATAAGTGAGATTCTTAATAACAACAAAAAAAAACTTTTATTCAACCAGCAGCAAGATAACACAAAACACATAATTATTATCTTATTCTTCATTGTATTTAATTTGACTTTTATCTTGAACTGCCATTAAATCTGAAGAGAGGCCAGACCATTTCCTAGGGAAAATTTCCTTTAATTTTCAGTGCAGATAAAAGTCAGAGGACAATTATAGTATCTGGCAGATGGAATCTCTGGTAAGATTATGTTTAGCTACTTTTAAATATAATTGTATGTACCTGATGAAGAGTCAATTCAGAGTCAAAAAACGGTAGTTGAAAAACACTTTTTTATAAGAACTCTGATAGTCTTTAACTCTACTTATTATATTATTTTTCAACAAATACTTGTTCAGTGTTTGTTTACCATGTACCAGAAAGATTTTCCAATAAGAGAAAGGTGGTTTAATGTTCCTTAAGCTAACAAGTAAAACCTTTTTCCCAAAAGAGAAGTAGGTTCCTCTAAACTATTTAATGAAAAAAAAAGAAAAAGAAAAAAGTAATGCTAATCTTATTTTTGCTTTGATGACAAGTCATTTTATATAGTTTTAATGTTAGAAAGAATACTTTTTATTCTTTTTCAATTAAAATGAAAGGTAATTATATAGAAGGAATAAAAACTCTCAGGGCAAGATTTTACTGCCAGGGAGATTTCTGTAATATGTTCATAATGTTCAGTGATTTTGTTCTGAAACTAGGATATCCAATATGTCACCAAATCTGCTCTACAGTGAAGACGTAGTGCCTTCTGCCAGTAAGTTTAGCTGACACCTACCTACAACATGATCTTCAACAATCTAAAACGGTTTAAGGTTATGTCATTGTGACTATATGTTTATTAGAACGCTGGAACAAAGCTCCTTTTATTTAATTGGCTCCTTTTTAATGCTATTACAGAGAGGGAATATGTCCTAGTCTAAAATAAATTTATAACTGTATATTTAGATCCAATATATTATTGAGAAAGATTTCTTTGTAATTAATAGAATTACAATTTTTGATGTGTACCTTTGAAAAACAGGCAACTGCCCCCACCCTACACCCCCTAAAAAGAAGACTTACAAAACTGTGGGTCATTACACAGAAGTGTACTGAAGAAAGGGCAATGTACAACAATGAATTCCATCCTCACTGACTCTAACAGGACTTTAGTTTCCTCACATATGAAATGAAGTGTGTTAGATTAAAACAATGTTTCTGTACTGCTAGATTCATACGTCAGAGGTGTTCTTGATGACTTTAAGTGATACCTAAAATGGAAAACAGTTATTCCTTTTAGTTCTCTTCTAATTAATTATTCATTACTGTAAGAAAAACATCAGAGGCTGGTCCTAATCTGTCTTTATCTTCTAACACCTGCTTTTTTTTTTTTTTTTTTTTTTTTTTTTTTTTTTT